AAAATATATGTTAAACTATAACTAATAAACTTTATTTTAATATAAAAATAAAAATTATTTCTTATTAAAATTATAAACTTTTATATAGAGAGAAAATTTTAATTTTCATTATGTTTTATTAGTAAATTTAGTCTTTGAGTCATTACTTTTGATTGTCACTATATATATATTTTTTTTATATTTAATTAAATAATATTTCATATTAAATATTTATTTATTTAGAAATATTATAAAAATTAATTTATATATTTTAAATAAGATAAATTTATTATTTTTAAAAAAGATAATATTAAAATTATAATATTTAATTATTAGATTAATTCAAAATTTAATTTAATTTAAATACTTATTATTTTGAATTATTTTGAATTTGAATTAAATTTAATATAATTAATATTTAAAAAATTTTGATTTGAATTAAATTATTTTCAGATATGATTTAAATTAATTCAAATAAAGCTTTAATAATTACTATATAATAATTAATTTAATTAATTTTTAAAAAATTAACTTAGTTAATTAATAAAATTAATATTATTAATTATATAATTTATTAATAATTCTAATTAATATAAATTATAATTTAAATAAATATTAAATAAGTTTAATTATATTAGTTTGTTTAATTTGATTTTTAATTTGAATTTTCAAGAATTAATATATTATTTTTTTTATATTAATAAAGTATTTTTAAAGAATTAAAAATAAGTATATAAAAATAAATATATTTATTTTTATAATTTTAATTTTGTTATATAATATAATTTATCATATATAAATTATAATTAATAAAATAAGTAAATTTTAATTAGTTTGACAAAATATAAAAATATTAATAAAAAATATTAATAAGATAATTTTGTATTCTTATTAATTTATTATTATGTAATTAAAAATAAATATAAAGTGAATAAAATATTAAAATATAAAAAATCATATTAATAAGTTTAATCAAAAGATTCAGTTTTAATAATATTGATAGAAAACATAATATTAACAAATAATAATTCAAGTAATTCTTATAAAAATCAGAAAGATTACATAATATATAATTTGTGAATTATTTTATTAAGCTAATTATAATTATAATTGCATATCTTATTATTTATAAATATTAAAATGCAAACAAAAAGTTAATAACAAAAATATATAGTAATATATATATAATAAATATTCAAAATATTAATAAATATATAAAAATTTCTTCTAATCCAATTTTAGCTAATAAAATAATTTTTCAAATATATATTGAAAGTTTTTTTATCTTTTTTAAGTTAAAAAGAAATAAAGATAATAGTACTCTCAACTATTATTTTAATATATATCAACAAAGCTTAGATCTTCTTACATCTATGTAATCAAATTCCATTTCAGTTTCCTAACATAAGAAATCAGACCATTAAAAATAAACGTTACTAAGGTTTCGTATCAAGAAGTGAAGACGAACGCACCAAGGAATCCGATATTGGCGAATATGAATGGCGAACCGACCTTGGCGAGGATCGCAATCTTCTGCTTGACGAACGAAGATCCGACCTTCTGCTCCATATATCGATAAAATAGTATATAAAGAAATCCTGTTCTGTTCTGAAGTACTCAACTTCTGATTCAAATTTAATAAAATAACAATCAAATTAAAATTAAATTGGATTGTTTACTTTCAAAGAAATATATAGATTTTAAATGACTATAACTTTTTATATGAAAACTTTTTTTAAAAATAGTCATCCTTAACTGGTAAATATGATCAATCAAAGACTCTACCTCTTCTTTTTGTTCCGTAGCTTCCTCATCGGATGAATCAGAGGTTAATTCATAATAGTCCGGAACCACTTTTCCACTTTTGGTTCGGCGTTTCTTTGGTTTATAACAATTTGAGTTGAACAATGTTTGATATTGTTAGAGGAATGTTCAGATGGACTTTGAAAGAAATCACCGATCTCTTTATCCAAATCCTACAGAAATACAAGGTCAATCATATGAAATGACATAAAAATAACATCGGAACTTTGATCATCCTTGGAGTCAGTGACTATGCTCTTAAACTCACCTTTTTTTGATCAATTTCATTGTTAAATATGCTTCCACAGTCTTCTCAGCCATTGTGTGATTATTTTTTTATTTTATATGAAAACTTTGTGGGATGATATTAATAACTTTCGCCTAGCAACCCATGTCTTGAGGTGGCTAAGCAAAGTTGTATGGAAGCAGTTGCCCTATTCTTCATCATATCTTGTGTTTTACTACTTATATTGACATGGCATTGTATATATAATTTAGTAAAAGCTCAAGAGTTATTCAGCAAAAAAGCATACTTACTGTTCGCAAAGTTCTCTCCCGCTCTAGACACGTAAGCTCGATTTCGTTCCAGAAAATGTTGACTTCCTCATTTTGCAGTCGATGATTCTAACCAAAAGAGATGAAATACATTAAGGTAAAAATCTGTAATGCCTGTATGGTGCTGATGAAAGAATATTTAGTTCAGACCGCAACATTCACGTAGAACATTAGAGGAACGGCGCATAGAACGTCCTTATAGTTGTGAAAGGCAACATGCGCGTAACGCGCGTAAAATATAATCTCTGCTGATTTTGCAGATCAGGTTCGATCTGATATTTATATCTAGAGTAAGAAATAATAGTATTCAATTTTATTGCTTTGCGCAAATACAAACACGCGTCGTAAAAAAATAAAATGTAAGCATAATAAATTACATCGGAATAGATTATTGTTATTTAAAAGCTTTTAAGCATGATTTCATATAGATAAGATTTTAAGTTGTGAATGTAATAAGATTTGAATTGATTAATTATTGTCCATGTTTCACCCAATTGTCTCTAATAACCAACCGTCAATTAACCAATAATAATTAATAAAATAATATATACATATATTATTAATATTTACGAAATAACCTATCTCAGACATTGATAGATGGAATAGACAATAATGTAAATCTATGTCTTATATCTCTATTCCTCCACCACAACGCTGCAAGTCTTTATCTTTTCGAAGTGACGATGACGATTTCTTGGAGTTTATTCGATCGTTATAAGCCACTTTTCAGAATTAAATAAAGTTCAAAAAGATTTAGTTAAAATTATTCACCAAGAAAACTATATAAATTATGAAACTCACCAAGTGAGATCTCAAGGCTATTATTATTGTTGTTTTTGATTTCGGACGCCATGCTTTTACTTATCATGATCGGGAAACTTAGTTCGTGTTCTATAAATTCACGTGAGTTTATCAAAATGTGAGAACAAGCATTGTAATAAACGTTTAAATTCAATATTCATCAAATCAAATAATACCACGTACACGTACATGATACGAACCTACAATGAGATTCTAGTCACATAAAGAATTATTTACCTTCTTCATAACCCTCATCTCCAGTCCATTCTAGCGAATAGATTGATGATCTCTCTTGTTGTTTTCGTTGTTGATCCTTTTCTTGGACGGAATCAAGCTCAGTAGTAGACCGTATTGAATACGGTCTATTTACATTATTATTATTATTATTGTCCGTATTTTTTGTCATTACGCTAGAAACAGACTTAGTTTCTACTCTCGTAGATTCCTCACCCAAACGAGCTGGCATTACTATTACCAATCCTTCACGAAGAAAAGCTCGCGAGCATCTTTTATCATCATTTGCAATATCGCTATTATCCTCATTAATAGAATCAATAAAACTATATTCATCATCACTATAAATGACAGACATCAATGTTCGATCACGTGACTCTGGTAAATCCGTGAAATTTAAACGTCTGCTATAATAGATAGCTTTCGGATGCAACACTGGGAACGCCAGCTCCATCACGTTGTCACCAGCCTCTTCGATCATTTTCAGACGATCTTGTTCCGCAGCGACAAACTGTTCAGCAATTCTTTGTTTCTGAGATAGTCCCATATGCCAGCCCCACGACATTAAAGTTTTCTCGAGACTACGTATATCTGGTCGTTCTTTTGGATCAGCTCGCCAACATTGTTCCATCAATTCGACATAACACATTGGCATTGTGACTACAATCTCTGGTCTGAGTCCATCACATATTTCCCACGCCAGTCTCGCGTCGTGGGCTCGATCCCAGAATGGGGGACGCGAAGCGGCAATTTCCCACATTACCATCCCGAAACTGTACACGTCTGATGCTTCGGTGCATGGACACCCGTGCAATACTTCTGGTGCTGTGTAAGGCAATACACCGTAGATTTCTCGACGTCCGGATCTAGATAGCGGGGGACGCGATTGGCCTATATCTGTAATAAAGGTGAGTGATTGCGAGCCGTTATAGTGTCGTAATATGTTTCCACTATGGAAGTTTTTGTGAACTATTCGTGAGTTGTGAAGTTCCATGAGACCGTGTAGTATGTTGTATACGATTCCGAGCTTTTTCTCCCACGTTAGTTCTTTGAAGTTTTCACGTAGGTATTGTCGTAAGTCAACGTCTGTTAGTTGTGATACTATTATGTATTCTCGTGATTGCGGATCTTGACTGAATCCATACCATTTCGATACGCATTTACTGTGAGTAGATCGATGCGAATGTAACTGAAAGGTAATATTTATTTATTAACCATTAAGAATTTATTATTGTTGAGTATAAAATTCTACTTACCTCGTTCCAATACTCTTGATTAGCTAGTTGTGAAGCATACAATCGTTTTAGCACTACTTTAGTTTCTCCCTCCCGAACCCAATATCGCCTCATCTCATCCCAATACAATTTTGGGCCCAAACGCCAAGTAGCTTTATACACCACTCCATGACCTCCCCTCCCGATTTCCCTCACACCCTCAAACATATCGAAAGGAATCCACTCCAAAAACTGATTCGGCGCACTATTGTTCAACTGTGACTCTTTAATAAGATTATCTAACGCGGTATTCCCAGTCTTCCAGTTTGGAAAATCGTCGTGAAAACGACGCGCTTCACATGGTTGACACCATCCGCGAACGCTACGCGTCGTGTATGGTTGGTTGCATGTGAGACAAGTTTTTCCTATACGTGTGCTATTAGGGATATATTCTAGTCGTCTTCGCTGCGATGGTCGTTTCTTCTGAAGTTTTTTGCGTTTTGGGGGGACTATTTGACTGGGCATTTCCGTTGTTGATGTTTTGCTTGTACATGTGCCCATTTTGTGCTTATTGTTATTGTTGGGTATTCTTAATCGTTAATCTTTTGATCTAAGACGACAGTTAAAGCAAAAATGGGCCTTTGGTGCTTTTATAGTTTTTAAGTCCTTTGTTGTTGTAGTGTGTTTTATTAATATTAATTGAACAGTTGAAAAATTAATTCATGCACATGATCTTTTTCTGAACATAATCATGCAAGAATCGTCTCACACTTGCTTCGTATCTTCCGATTCTTCACTAATATTTATGCTTTATCAAAAATAAATTATTCCCTAGTGTTTTATCCTGTTCACTTTGACACGCGACTGCCTTTTTTCTATCTTTCTATCCAAGAGTTGGTTGAACTTTGTCGGTTTTGGAAAGGAGTGCGTGTAGAGTTTTAATCGCCGTGTGATAAATTGCTTCTTTGTTTTAGGGTTGTTTTATTATCTATTTTTTATTGTCTATTGTCTATTATGTATATTGTTTGGTAATGAAATAACAATGATAATAATTTGGAACAAAGAGATATATATATATATACCTTTAAAAATATGTACAATTATAAATAATAATACGAATTCGGAAAAATATACATACTAATGTACAAGGTCTCACATTTGCACCACAATACAACGGTTCATTTGATCAAAAATTTTTATTGATCAAAAGAAGCAAATTTATATTATTGATCGATTTTAGAATCGGGAAATTCGAAACACACAAATTTACCAAGAATAAAAGAGTAAAAAAAGCACGAAACGGAAAGAAAAATGAATCTGGCGCTAAAAAAACTGCCTTATATAAATAAGAATAAAGCATTTCTCAGGGAAATCAGGGAAATGTTTATTGATTTTCGCAATGAAGTTATTATGCAAGCAAACAGACCTGTTTTAGTTAGCATTGGGCAAATGTTCGAATGCAATCATTGTCACCCCAACACTATTACTGTACAGTATATTTGTTACACAATTAATATCGCCGACGTATGAATGTGCAGCGATAATGTAAAGTATCGGATAACGTCCCGAGACAAGAAAACGGAAAAATGCATGCTTGCATTAAAGCTTAATGTAGAGTTTACATTGTCATTGCTCTTCCTTTTTTTATGAAAAATTGCTTTTTAAAGCACTCGATGATGATATGCGTCAAAAATGAATTTACTCGCATGTCATATCTCATGAATTTAAGTAAGACGTGGAATTGGGCGAAAGTTTCAATATTTAATTTCAGGAAGAGACTCGTTTGTTTTTGCCTTTTCTACTTGCATGCACATCAAAAGAAAAGTAAAAATGTTTCCTATAGTATCAAAAAATGGGTGACAGTTTATTTGCCACTAAATTCTAAATTCTCATTAATTTAAATTATATGCGCTTTTGCGCGTTTTTTGCATTGAAGAAAAATTTTAAATCATTAAAATAGGGGTGTTTTGAATACGAGATTCGTCATCTGGACATCATTATGTATTTTAGACTCCCCAAAAAAGGAAAAAATCGTACTTGATTTTTCGAGGATCGCATGTGAATGAAAGGGTTGAATTTGGTTTTTCCTCTGGGAATCCAAAACAGCACGACAAACAGTCATTTTTTTGAGAAAATTTCTTTAATAAACGATTTTTTTTAGTTGAACTCGCAAAATTAAAGATTTTGTTGTTTAAGAAACTAGAAATCAAGGCTCAATGGTTTTGCCTTTGTCTCTCAGATAGAAAACTATGCTATGATTATCATATTGCTTTCTAAAAAAGTTTCGAAGAGTAATACAATCATCTATTTACTTGTAACAATGTTAATTCCGCATTTCGGTCTGACCGACAGAATTCTAGCAAAGAACATGCATAATAATGAGTACAAATTTAGAATGGAAATAAACGAGTCACTTTTGTCCTTTCCCAAAAAGAAGCTATTCATGTAATTGGCAAAAGTATCCACATGGTAATTAAAATAATGATTTTGAATTGGTTTATTACGTTTTTTCTCCGATCTAGAGTTTGGGAAGACAACCATCAAGATCGAGGGTGCATGCATTTTTAAAGAAAGTAAATACGGGATTACATGATATGCAACAAGAATGCTAGGTAACGAGCAAAGATTAAAAAGTATGACGAGACAAACACAACTGAACAAATGCAAACGCATAGATTCGCAATCCTAAAAAAATTATATAATGATTCGTAATACGCGTTTTTCTTTATTTTTCACTATTTGAGTAAATAAAGGAAAACAAACCGATTCCTGGGCGTTCATTCATTCGTTTGTTTTTGTAATTTTTGTGTAAGATGTTACATGTTATTCGAAGGCGACGAGAGATTTTCGTGAATGCGAGAACAACGAAAGAAATATTTTTATACGAAAGGTCGTCATTGTCTGCTTTTCTTTTGCCTTTTAGATAGGCTGTGTCACTTTTCACTGCACCACTGCAATGGAGACGGACAGCACGATGTGTGCGGGTTTTCTGAGATGGCATGCGCAATGATGTTATTTAAATAAATGATGCAAGCCTTATTTACAAAACAGTTAACGTACATGGTACATGTATATGCAAATACATAAGTAAAAATTATTTTTAAACTACCTTTACAATAGATTACACATTTATCATTGTTATAAATAAAATTGCGATAATTTTAGAAGCTGAAATACATATCTGATATCATTGACCTTTATTGTGTAACCTTTTCATAAGGTTTTATCGTTATCTGTCAATGTTAACGTTAATATTAATGTCTAAAACCTTAAACATGTAAAAATAATTTGAATTGATTGATTTAAATCAAAATTTTCAATTAGTAAATTTTACAAATTTTTTTATTATATTAACACAATTTTCATGAAATATGAAATTTTAGAGGCTTAATTTCCATTAATAAATTACGAGAATAATATATTAATCCGTTATAAAAATTTTTATATATCAGTCACACGATAAAATTAAACATATTATGTCGATCGATTTAAAAAATCGATTAATCATACATGCGAATTTTTTGTCCAAAGTCTTAGCCAAAACGCACAAAGCTCCCTAAAACAAAATTATTGTTGAGGTTTCTATGAACAGAGCAGTGCAAAGATCACGAAAAACTAATGTCTCCCTGT